GGGGGCCCGGGGGGGGGGGGGGGGAGTCAAAGACAGTGCTGTGGACAGGACAGGGGGCCAGAATAGGTTGAACGCCTGCCACCTGAACTGAAGGCCTGGCAGAACAGCTCCGTTTTATAGGCCCTGCAGAACTGTGCTAGGTCCTAGAGGACCCTGATTTCGAGCGGGAGCATGTTCCACCAGGCCAGGGGTAGGACTGAAAAAGCCCTCTCCCTGGTTGAGGCTAAGCAGATGTCCCTCAGGCCAGGGACCACCAGGAGATGTTGATCAGAAGAGCGCAAAGCTCTCCAGGGCTCATGGGGGAGAGGTGGTCCCACAGGTATGATGGGTCCCAGGGCTTTGAAGGTCAAAACCATAACCTTGAACCGGATCCAGTATTCGATCGGCAGCCAGTGAAGTTGGCGCAACATGCAGGCGTCACCATCAACAAGCTTGCTGCCACATTCTGCACAAGCTGCAATTTCTGGATCAGGCTCAAGGGTAGCCCTGCATAGAGCGAGTTACAGTAGTCTAGGCTGGAAGTGACCATTGCATGGATCACTGTAGCTAAGTCCTGGTGAGCAAGGTAGGGAACTAGTTGCCTGATTAGCCGAAGGTGATAAAAGTCTGATCTGGCAGCTGAACTGACCTGGGCCTCCAAAGTGACCTGGGCCCCCATAGTAAGTGAGGAATCCAGTATCACCCCAAGACTCCTTACCTCCGGTGCTGGCACCATGGCGCCCCACCCAAGTTACGACACAAGAGTTAAAATACTTCCTGTAAATTCTCTACACTGAAATCCTAGTTTTGTAAAATACGTGGTTAAGTGTGCGGAGTCTAATCTGGGAGAACCGGGTTTGATTCCCCACTCCTCCACTTGCACCTGCTGATGTGACCTTGGGTCAGTCACAAGCTCTGGCACAGCTGTCCTTGAAAAAGAGCAGTTTGTGTCATAATTCTCTCAGCCCCACCCACCTCACAGAGTGTCTGTTGTGGGGAGGGGAAGGGAAAGGAGTTTGTAAGCCGCTCTGAGACTCCGAGTGAAGGGCGGGGTATAAATCCAATCTCCTCCTCCTCTTCCTCCTCTTCCTCCTCTTCCTCCTCTTCCTCTTCCTCCTCTTCCTCTTCTTCCTCCTCTTCCTCTTCTTCCTCTTCTGTATTTTCTCAGAATTCCACATTTTAATCACTGAGTAAAGGAGTGTTTCCTTTTATCCATCCTAAATCTACTGTCTATCACCTTCATTGGGTGCCCTTGAATTCTAGGATTTGGGGAGAGGGAGAAAAAGTTATCTCTGTCCACTCTCTCTACCCTGTGTATCATTGTATAAACCTCTATCTTGTTCCCCTTAGTCTCTTTTCTAAACTGAAAAGTCACATATTTGTCATAGGGAAGGTGCTCCAATACCCTAATCATCTTGCTTGCCTTCAGTTCTTTTTCCAGCTTTGCAGTGCCATTTCTGAGATAAGTGACTAGAACTGCACACAGTATTACAAATGAGGCCACACCATAGATCTATACAAGGGCATTAAAATATGGGCTGTTTTATTTTCAGTACCTTTCCTAATCTCAGCATAGTAAAGGTAAAGATTCCCTTGCTCGAAAGCCAGTCGAACCTGACTCTAGGGTTGCGGTGCTCATCTCCGTTTCAAAGCCGAAGAACCAGCGCTGTCCGAAGACGTTTCCGTGGTTATGTGGCCGGCATGACTAGACGCCAAGGTGCACGGAACGCTGTTACCTTCCCACCGAAGTGGTACCTATTTATCTACTTGCAATTTCTTGCTTTCGAACTGCTAGGTTGGCAGGAGCTGGAACTAGAGATGGGAGCTCACTCCATCATGCGGCACCCGGGTCTCGAACTGCTGAACTACTGACCTTCCACAGCCTGCAGTTCAGCGTCTTAACTCAGCGTAAAGTTTGCCTTTTTCACGACTGCAGCACAGTGGGTTGACACTTTCATTGACCTACCTGCTATGACCCTAAAGTCTTTTCCCCTCTCAGTCTCAGCAAGTTCAGACCCCATTAGCATATATATGAAGTTAGGATTTTTGTTCCCATGTGCATCACCTTACAGTTATTTACATTGAACTTTCTTTTCTGCATTCTTGTCCGCTCACTGAATTTGTGGAGATTCTCCTAGAGCTCCTCATAGTTGGCCTTGATTTTCAGCATCCTGAATCATTTGATGTCATTGGCAAACTTGGCAACTACACTGCTCACTCTCAGTTCTAGACCACTTATGAACACATTAAATAGCACCAGCCCAATACTGATCCTTGTGGGACCATACTGCTTACTTCCCTCCAATGCAAGAGCTGTTCACCTATTCCTGCTCACAACATCTGTCATTTAACCAGTTTTAATCCATAAGAGGGCCCATTCTCTTACCCCATGAATGCTAAATGTACTCAGGAGTCTTTGGTGTGGCCTCTTGCATAAAGGTACTTGAAAATCCAAGTACATAATGTCTGCCAGGTTAACGTTATCTACATGCTTGTTCACTTTCTCAAAGAACTCCAAAAGGTTGGTGAGGCAGGAATTTACTTTGCAGAAGCCATGCTGGTTCTCTTTCAGCAAACTTTGTCTAATAATTATGTCTTTGACGACAGTTTTACTAGTTTGCCAGGGCCAGTTGCTTGGCTAACTGGCCTGTAATTTTCTAGTACCCCTCTAGACCTTAAAAAAAATATATCAGTGTAACCACACTTGCATTAACCTCGCCCAACAACCTTCTAGAAGGTTCAGCAAATGCACTGTCTAGCGCTCCATCTTAAAAGGTCCCCAAATATGTAGTTTTGTGAAGTTGTCTACTCACATGTGGAGACCTGCCAAAATGTTAAAGGCAGAGGAGTCCCTGTTAAATAACTACCACAAAATCTTGTGCCACTAGACTGCTTTTCCTTTTAACTTTAGTTGAGCTGGTGGTTGCTGCTGCACTACACAGAGACATTTGCACCACAGTCAACACCATTACTGTATGTATGCAGTTTGTACATTTAAAGGGAATGACTAAGGTAATGGAATTGTTCTTTCATGGTCCTTGTCTATTTGCAGATACAAAGGATAAGACCAAAAAGGCTCATTACCGAGCAAAAATATCAGAATACGTGAGCAGAGCTGAAGCTATCAAGAAGTGTCTTCAGAGAGAAAAAGAAGGTATGAAGCTTAATGTAAGGTTCTTCAATATAGCCCTAGAAGGCGCCATTTACAGACTTCATTGGAATTGCAGTATGCCTCTTTCAAGACACCATTGCAGATGTTTTCTTGTTTTTTAGATGGAAAATACCACAAACAAATTAAGATTGAAGAAAACACAAAAGGTTTCAGCTACGAAAAGCTGTTCCAAGAGTATCTTAATGAAACTGTTACAGAGGTTTGGGTTGAGGACCCTTATATTAGGCAAGTTCATCAGGTAAAAACATTGTTGATTTCCGCAGCCCAAAAGTTTGCTCTTTTCCAATGGAAAAATTAACCATATTGAATTGCTTACAGTTGTACAACTTCTTGAGATTCTGTGAAATGCTGGTTAAAGGACCATGTAAAGTGAAGACTATTCACCTCCTTACCTCTTATGAAGAAGTGAGTATTTACACTAAAACCGATTACTCTGTATGTCATACTTACTGAAGTGATTAAGTGTAACTGCCATGTTAGGAGAATGAACGCCAAGATGGGTGTCCCCACTGGAAGCCTTCGTAAAACCCTTGCTTTTGACAACAAGTAAAAAAGCGAACTATAACATATTGTTAGAAGGAAACGACAATTTGAAAACAGAAGAAAAGTTGATGCGAGAATATCAAATTAATTTATCCTGGTGGGAAAATAACTTACTACGAGATAGATATGGTAAAGATAAACTAAAAGGATTTGAAGATAGAAATGCCCAACTTGATAAGATATGGTTATCATCCAGTGACAAATTAATTCAGAAACTTTATGGATTTTTATTAGAAGATTATGAGCTGGATGAAAATATAAAATCTGTTATGATTGCTTGGATGCAGGATATGGGAAAAGAGATTGAAATAGAACAATGGAATACAATATGGAAGTCTGCAAAATTTATGAGAGCCATAGCCTATAAGGAAAATATCTATATAATGTTTCACAGGTGATATTGGTCCCCAGATAAAATTGCGAAGTGTTATCCACAAATATCTAACAATTGTTGGAAATGTAAGTCGAACGTGGGGACCTTTTACCACATATGGTGGAAATGCAACAAAATTCAAATATATTGGAAAATGGTTCATAAAGTTATTCTAGAAATATTGAATTTAGATGTCGTGCTAACACCAGAAACCTATTTATTGAATATAATTCCAAAAGGATATGATAAGCAAGATATTTATTTATTAGTATATATAATAACAGCTGCGAGAATTTTAGTGGCCAAAAATTGGAAAATGGATAAAATACCCTCAAAAGAGGACTTAATAGTAAAATTATTAGAACTAGCACAAATGGATAACTTAAGTTTAATACTTCAGGATAAAGATACAAAAATACAGAACAAAAGATGGTTATGGGTTTATAACTGGATTAAACATGTAAAAATGTAATAAGAAAAGAAAAGGAGACAACAGTTTGATACATGACACGTAACTTGACTAAAAGACTCTAAACGTATATGTAATTAAAGAGAAATGTTTGTAAATAGACTGAAAAGTCGATAAATAAACGTGTAAAAAAAAAGGAGCATGAATGGATCTGCTCTTGTCAGAGGAGTTTTCAGTACATATTTTGCTAGCTGAGATGTAGGCTTGGATCCACTGGAGCATTTCAGTGGATGAGTTTCTATCTCTCACAGCAGAACTCTTACTCCCCCCCCCCCCATGCTGTTGCTTGGGGTCTTCTAACCCCTAGAAGCAGCAGCATTGTGGCCTACAGTGGGAACAGGAGGAAAGGAAGGTCCAATCCATGGACAGAAACCCTGTCCATGTGCAGAAATTACTGATGGATCCAACCCAAAATGTTTCAGATTTTTAAATGGGAACTTAAATGGTAACATCTCTCCCTTTCCTTGTTTTGTTCTGAAAAAAGTTTAATATCTGGTTGCATTTAATGAAAATCGTATATGAGCCTGTTCATTCAGAGAATTTGCCATATGTCTGTTGAATTATCTTAACAGGGCAGTGGAAAGAGTCAGCAGATGAGTGGTCTACAGGACATAGAACGGTCCCTGAATGATTATGGAGTAACACTGGATGTGTCATACTCTTCTTCGATACATGATCGAGAGATTAGGTTGGTGATACATCAGGAAAATACCAAGTCAGTGTTGAACACTGGTAAATGAGGTGTATATTGTTGATTATTGTCTTTTAATTTTGCACACATCAGGCTTGCTAGTTCCATGTCTGGTGACTGTGGCTTGGATCCTGAGGCATTGTTTCCCTTGCACTTCTCTCTTTCAGGCGGTCCTCTAGAGTTAGCAGTTCTGTGTGCATAAAGGCTCCTTGAAAAACATTAGTCTCAAGCATGTGAAAGTGTGGTAGCAGAGGGAGGGAGTGCCATTGTGGAGGAAAACCTCCATAATGGCTGGAGAGAGGTGTAGGAGGAACTATGTCACAGGATCCAAACCTTTAGCTGAAGCTTTAACCATTCCAAAGCAGTGTGTGGCAGTGTTAACTCCTGCCCTGGCATTCATGTAGTCTACTTTCTTATCCGTTCTTGTCTGCCATGAGACAAACTGAAGTCCTGCTTACTACAGCAGGTACAAAAGACTAGGGGAAAGAGACAAGCACTTCCTGTACCCAGAGTTTGCTCATATGAGGCAATTGGAGCAGTGCAAGCATCTCCCCCTCTCCACATACAAATAACATCATTTGTGAAGCAGACACTCCTCTCAGAAGCCTCTGTGGCCTAAATTTTGCATGATATCTCTGGCTTTTCCCTTTTAAAGTGAGACAAATCGTTCACTTCAGGACATCATGCAATACAGGTCCTCAAGTGAAATATCCCATTTCACATGAGGTATTAAATATGTGGTTGAGGACTCACAGTAATTCTTCCTTCCTGCAACTGAGTGCCCATCTCAGGAAATGTATGAACAGGGTATAGACCTGTATCTTTAAGATTCACAAGCTCTGTTTTATTGACAGAAGAACCAAATCCCATCTTCCCTTGTCTGTTGCAGATCCTTACACCACTCCAAAAGCTGCTTCTGAGTGTGCCTTAAGAACAGTATGGGAAGCGGCACTGTAGGATACATCTCCAGTGGAAAATCTAGGGAAATTGTGGGACACCCACACCCTGCTTGATCAATAGTGCCTTCTGCTCACACACGACTGCCTTAGATCTCAACCCATAGTGTCTTTCTCCACCAGAATAGACAAGTTACAAAGCCTAGAATGGTTACTCTTATTTGTTGTTTGATTACTGTGAGTTTCTGGTGTGTTAATAATTTTCTGGCACTACGTATGTGTCAAATTCTTGGTCAACAGTAAATGACATCCCTGTGGAGAAAGTCACTATTTCATTTGCCAGATGAGGAAGTGAAGCTGAGATAGCAACTTGGCCACTGCTATCTATTCCTGACCCAGGAGAAGTTTGAACCAGGGTCTCCCAGGTTACATTAGCAGCATCACACTGGCTTATTAGAACTGAATTCCTGCTATTGCTTCAACAAATTTGAATCATTCGTCTAGATTATAGGAGTAAAGGAAGACCCTGTTCTAAACAGTACACGTATTCAATAAACTATTATTATAGTTAGTACGTTTGTGAGATATAATATACTTTTCTTGCATTTAAAAAACAGATTCAACAATGGATGGATTATTAAGATTGGAAGGGGTCTTGATTATTTTAAGAAACCACAGGTGAGGTTTATTTGGTCTTTCCACCTTAGAATATACTTGAATAACTGTGGCCCTGGTCACACGGGCCGGATATTGCGGGGGGTGGAGACGTGGCTGTTTGCCCTGGAGCAAACTACCGCGCGGCCGCTGGATCAAACGTCCCATGGTTCGGGGGGAGGTGCCGATCATACGTCAATCCCTGTGGCATGGCAAAGAAGCGGCGCGGCGGATTTTTTTTTTTTAACCGAAGTGTGCGCATGCGCCGTTGGGTGCTTGTGCGCATCCCGTGGAGACTTGGGGGGAAAAAAACTTTTCGCGACGGGACATGGGCGGGCGCCAGATGCCTATCTTCCGTCTCTGTAGCATGGCTAATGCTCCGTGTGACCGCAGTCTGTATTTTATTAACAAAAACTTATTTTCTGCAGGGTCGTTTTTGCCTTGGGTACTGTGACCTTGATTTGAGACCATGTCATGAAACTACTGTGGATGTCTTTCATATGAAGCATACAAAGAAAACATGATTTTATATTAATCCATCTATATTTTACTGTTTTTGTTTTCAAACATGAGCTATTTTATTCCACTGTACCTACTGTTGAGTTTTCTAAAACAAGTGTTTCTAATAATTGTACATATTGAGTAGAATGTCTAACAAAAGTTGTGTATGTTTAAATCAGGATTTCACATTCTGTATGGACTTCATCTGGAGCTTTTGAGCTCAGTTGAAGTAAAAACTGCTATTCCAGTTTGCTTGCTTGTGGTAGAGCACCGTGTTTTCTTACTGCATGGACACTGTATGGAAGAATGTTTAAAGAATAACATGATTGCTGTACTTCATGCATATCTGGAGGAGAACTGTGTGCTTAGCTTGAAGAGTCTTCTCTGCCTCACCAGCCCTGCTCTCTGTGTCTTTTTTTAAAATATATATATAGTTTATTTATCATTTTCGTTAACAAACAAAAAACAACATACAATAATAAAAATATATAGTCTTATACAACATATTTTTGGAGTATACATTTATACATTTTTTCCATCCAGCTATCCATCTTTTGCCATCTTTTTTGAAACAGCTTTTCATCTTTTCCTGACAATATCATATTCACTTTATCAATTTCTTTTATTTCCATAATTTTCATAATTAATTCTTCTCTATCTGGAATTTTATCTGACTTCCAGCATTTCGGTATGAGTATTCTAGAAGTAGTAAGTATATATAATATCAAACATAAATCATTGTATTTAATCCCGTCTGGTAACATGTTAAGTAAGTATATTTCTGGCTCCAACTTCAGTTCTATTTCCATTATCTCTAGTATTATTTTTTTTATAGTTTTCCAAAATTTGGAGATCTTTTCACATCTCCACCATATGTGATAATATGATCTGATGGGGGTTTTTTTACATCTCCAGCATTTCCCTGAGACATTTTTATAACATTTGGCTATCTTATCTGAGTGTCTTTGTACTAATGCAAACGCAACCAGCCAAGCTCTTGTTTCTACTAAACTTAGACAAGCTTCTAAACAGAGGGCTGCGTATGGAACATGGTGTGGAATATCCATGGTTTTCCATAAGAACTTAGATGGCAAACATTCAATGGTCCGATCAGATTGGAATTCCATACAATAGTTGGGAAATCACTTTGCCTAAAAAAAACTTTTAGTACAGCTGGAACAAATTGATTACTAAAGGAAAAATGTGAGCCCTGACCTGAATAGACCAGGCAAGCTTGATCTCATCAGATCTCAGAAGTTAAGCAGGGTTGACTTTGGCAAGTACTTGGATGGGAGACCACCTTGAACTACCAGAGGCAGGTGGAGGCAGGCCTTATTCAGCCACCTCTCTGAATATCTTCCAGTCACCATGACTTCCAGGTGTGCACACACTCACACGTGCATATAAAAAAATACCAAAAAAGTGATAAAGCAAAAGTGATAATGTTGGCTGCATTGACCACTAATTTGCATTGAGTTGACCACTGTATTGAAATTGCAAGCCCAAATACCTAAAGCATGTAACTTGTTCTATTTCTTTCCCTCCGATTACCCATTTATGCATTTTCCATGATCTACCAAATACTAATATTTTTGATTTCTCAAAATTCAAATGCAATTTGTTAATTGAGAAGAAAATAAGACATCTATTTAATAAGCGTTTAAGGCCAATTCTGGAGCAAGACAATAAAACAGGATCATCTGCATAGAGTAACACTGGAACATGAACAGGGCCCAGTTTCGGATAACAATAATCAACTTCAGCTAAAAAGGGAGCAAGGTCATTAAGAAACAAATTAAACAAAAAGGGAGCTAAAGTGCAACCCTGTTTAACACCTTTATTACACGAGATTTTGGCAGTTTCCCAGTCTTTGAACATTTGATTTGGCAGGTAGTAGAAGAATACAGTTTTTCTATGAGTACAAGAAGTCTCTTGTTGATATTTAAGTGACTTATTTTGGTCCACAGAATTTCCCTCTTGCAGCCTTTTAAAAAGTTGAAAGCAGCTGTATGGATATTGAATTGGATCATGGCCATGGTGCTGGCAATGGTGAGATGGATACAACCTCCTTGCAATCCTACCTCTCAGAATTGTTGTGATGATAAAATGCAAATGGGAGATTCATGAATATGAACACACATGAGACCCTAGTGTCTTTGTAATAATGCAAATGCAACCAGCCATGCTCTTGTTTCTACTAAATTTAGACAAGCTTCTAAACAGAGGGCTGCGTATGGAACATGGTGTGGAATACCCATGGTTTTCCATAAGAACTTAGATGGCAAACTTTCAATGGTCCGATCAGATTGGAATTCCATAGTGTTGGGAAATCACTTTGCCTAAAAAAACTTTTAGCACAGCTGGAACAAATTGATTACTAAAGGAAAAATGTGAGCCCTGACCTGAATAGACCAGGCAAGCTTGATCTCATCAGATCTCAGAAGTTAAGCAGGGTTGACTTTGGCAAGTACTTGGATGGGAGACCACCTTGAACTACCAGAGGCAGGTGGAGGCAGGCCTTATTCAGCCACCTCTCTGAATATCTTCCAGTCACCATGACTTCCAGGTGTGCACACACTCACACGTGCATATAAAAAAATACCAAAAAAGTGATAAAGCAAAAGTGATAATGTTGGCTGCATTGACCACTAATTTGCATTGAGTTGACCACTGTATTGAAATTGCAAGCCCAAATACCTAAAGCATGTAACTTGTTCTATTTCTTTCCCTCCGATTACCCATTTATGCATTTTCCATGATCTACCAAATACTAATATTTTTGATTTCTCAAAATTCAAATGCAATTTGTTAATTGAGAAGAAAATAAGACATCTATTTAATAAGCGTTTAAGGCCAATTCTGGAGCAAGACAATAAAACAGGATCATCTGCATAGAGTAACACTGGAACATGAACAGGGCCCAGTTTCGGATAACAATAATCAACTTCAGCTAAAAAGGGAGCAAGGTCATTAAGAAACAAATTAAACAAAAAGGGAGCTAAAGTGCAACCCTGTTTAACACCTTTATTACACGAGATTTTGGCAGTTTCCCAGTCTTTGAACATTTGATTTGGCAGGTAGTAGAAGAATACAGTTTTTCTATGAGTACAAGAAGTCTCTTGTTGATATTTAAGTGACTTATTTTGGTCCACAGAATTTCCCTCTTGCAGCCTTTTAAAAAGTTGAAAGCAGCTGTATGGATATTGAATTGGATCATGGCCATGGTGCTGGCAATGGTGAGATGGATACAACCTCCTTGCAATCCTACCTCTCAGAATTGTTGTGATGATAAAATGCAAATGGGAGATTCATGAATATGAACACACATGAGACTGTCTTATACAGAATCAGACCCTTGTTCTGTGAAGGTCAGCATTGTCTACTCAGACTGGTAGCAGCTCTCCTGGGTCTCAAGTAGAGAAAGATCTTTCACATCACCTACTGTCTGGTCCTTTTGAACTGGAGATGCTGAGGATTGAACCTGGGACCTTTTGCATGCCGAGCAGATGCTCTGCTACTTGAGTTTCATAGAGGAAATGTAATAAATAAATAGAACTTCATCCTTAAATGAGAATAATTTGCTTTCCTATTTGTTAAAAGAACAGAGCTATGGAATTATTGAAGTAGAAAAGAGCAAGAGTCCAGTAGCACCTTAAAGACTAATAAAATATGTGGCAGAATATGAGCTTTTGTGAGTCACTGCTCACTGAAGAAGCTCATATCCTGCCACATATTTTCTTAGTCTTTAAAGTGCTACTGGACTCTTGCTCTTTTCTACTGCTACAGACTAACACAGCTACCCACCTTGATCTATCTCCATGGATTTTTTTTAATAAATCTGTTTTATTCAATTTTTTATAATAATATACAACATCCATACGATAAAAACAAAACAGGATAAAGCTGAACAATATACAAAGAGATATATGAATCAATGGCTTAATTTGATAGAAGAATATCAATGTCAGAACAACAAACTGAGAGCACTTTGAAAAATGTGATTACTGAGCTTGTTTAATAATAAAATGTGTGTCTACTGAGATTCAGCATTGTGAAACTGCCTGTGAATACTATACACTGATGGGGCTATTTGGCTTGGTTGGGAATTTAAGTTGCTCAGGTGTGATGTGCTTTC